GGAAAAGTGGGGTCGTGCGAACCAAGCTTCAAGCTGTCTTCTCCCTTCATGCTGCTATAACAGCATACACAGACTGTGGGATTTATAAAGAACTCAAGTTTATTTCTCAGCCTGGAATCTGGGAAGTCCAAGGTCAAGTCACTGGTATCTGATGAGGACCTTCTCGCTCCATTGTCACATGACACAAGCTAGAAGGGCAAGAGAGGGACAAACTCTGGACTTGGCCGTAAGTCTTGATTTCCACCCCCGCCCCACATGCAAGGCCTTTTGCTTCTCCCCCTCCCCCACCCTTCCTGAACACCCTTTCAAGTCCTTGGTCAAGGCTGCTTGGGCCTGAACTGTCTGTGACCTCCCAGGGCACTTACTATCTGTACTGGCTAAGAGTGTGGGCTTTAAACCGCACTCCCTGGATTCAAATTCCAACCCCCCCACCTCCTAGCCCTGTGACCCTAGACAGGTCAGTGACCCTCTCTGAGCCCCAGCTGCCTCATCTGCCACAGGAGGGTGATACCAGCATCTGTCTCAAAGGGTGGTGAGGATTAAATGAGCGAATACTAATGAAGTGGATTATATCGCTGGCACATTGGCAAAAGGGGAAAAAGAAAGCAAAACCACTCCTTCAAGCACTAATCCACTGGTAAAGATGTTGCCAAAAGACCTGCTGTTAGGTCCCACCCAGAATTGGTACATTATGGGTTAAATTTCAACTTGAGTGTGGAGGGGACAGAAACTATTAAGCCTGTAATCCCAGCACTTAGGAGGCTGAGGCAGGAGGATCACCATGATTTCAAGGCCAGCCTGGACTACATAGTTTAAGACTAGCCTGAACTACAAAGTGAGACCCTCTCTCAATAAGATAAACAAACAAAAAAGAGAGAAAAGAAAGTAGTTCAGTGTGTTTTGGTTACTTACTGCTGGGCTATGAGCCACCCCAATACCTGATGGCTTAAAAGAAGCATGTATCGGCTCTCAGTTGTATAATTTGGACATCAGCTGGGACAGCTCGATGGAATAGAAAGACCTGTTTCCTAAAGAGCCAGCAAGGTGGTTCAGGCAGCTTCCTGGTAGCTGTGGGGGGACCTCCATCATCCCCTTTCCAGGTCTTCCAGGTTGGTGCTTGGACCTCCACTGTCCAGTGACTGGGTTCCAAGAGAAAGGAACTGCAAGCTGCAGGGTCTCTTAAAGTCTAAACCCAGAACCCCCAGAGCCTCCTGTCACCCTCTACTACTGGTCAGAGCAGGCCCCAGCCCCACCCACACTCCTCCCCTGGAGAAGGACACCTTGTTAGTTTTCTGGTGCTGCTGTAACAAATGGCCAGCGTCGGGGTAGTAGGTAGCTTAAAACAATAGAAATGCATTCACCCATAGTTTTAGAGTCCAACAGGGTCAGCAGGGTTGGTTCATTTGTGGGGGCTCTGAGGGAAAACTCAGGGCTTTAATCGTGGCCTCTGTTGGTCCTGAGCAACCCATGGCGTTCGTGGCATTCACTGGCCCTTATTACATTATCCAGCCCTCTGCCTCCTGTGGTCATACGGCATCTTCATTCGCATGGCCTTCTCTCCGTGTATCTTTGTGTCTCCGTGTCCAAATCACATTTTTTTTTCTGGCAGCACTGGGGTTTGAACCCAGGGCCTTTGCACTGAACTATATCCCCGACTCTTTATATTTTTATTTTGAGTCAGGGTCTTGCTAAGTCACTAAACTCCCCAGACTGGGCTCAGACTATTGATCCTCCTGCCTCTGCCTCCCAGAGCACTGGGATGACAGGTGCACACCACCACACCTGGCTCAGATCTCCTCTTCTTGTAAAGACACCAGAGATTGGGTTTAGGGGGCATGCTAATCCAGTGTGGTCCGCTGTTATACCTGACTATATCTGCAGAGACGCTGTTTCCAAGCAAAATCACTTGTACAAGTACCAGGGGTGGGGATCTCAGCTTATCTTTTTTTTGGGGGGGACACAATTCAACGCTTAACAATGCGTTGCCTCTTGGTGGGAGGAATGACACAGAATTCACAGCCATCATTAATCCAGCACCATCTGAGACCGATCCCAGGAAGGGAAGAGAGCTGGGAAGGGAAAGAAGCCAATAAAGCTTATGTAATCAGCGCAGCTGTTACTGCGGGCAACTGGGGCCCCGGCAGGCTGGGAATCTCTGCAGGACAGCACAGGACACATCTCCAAGTTTCCCCAGCCAGGGGTGAGCAGGTGGAGTGCGGACCTGCTGGGTCCCCTGGACCCCTGGTCGTTGCTGGACTTGCAGCCAGCCTGCCCCACAGGCGGACAGAGCGCCAGAAAGCCCCCCTTCACTGTGTCCCGGTGTCTGCAGCGAGCAGGCTTCTAAGCACAGGGCCTGGCTAGCGAAGTGTCTGCTGCCAAGGGCAGGTTGTGGCAAGCCATCAGGAGGAGCGGAGGTGCCCATGGCAAAATTCCAATCCCACAGGTTTAACCACTAGTAGAGGGCTGGGGCAGGGTGGGGGGTGATCCGGGAAGATACAGATGAAGCCAGGGACCACCCCATAACCATTGGAATCACATTGGAAACACAAGAACAGGGCTCCTCATGGGTGGGCCGTGGGAGCCAGGTTGTGGGCAGAAGAGGGGCCTGGGAAGCAGAGGGCAGAATGAGGAGGGGCCCAGCACCATCACGTTCCCTCCTGAGGGGCTGGGGGCCAGCACATGGCAGACCTAAGCAGCATTGACTTGGGGTTCACACAAGCACCCCGTTCTGTCCTGTTCAGTAGCTTTCTGGACCCAGGCCAGGGGAGAGATGATGGGGAAGTAGGCAGCGGAGTTTTCCCTCCCTGCTCGTGACCTCCCTTCCCTCACTGCCCCACAAACCTACCCAGGCTCCCATGGCTACAAAGCCGCCTGCAGAAAACACAGTCACGAATCTCTCATGAATGATTTTAAATGATTCCTGCTCTGTCCGTGGGGGGAAATCAAGTATTGAAAATCCAGCAAAAGCGGAGCCAACTGGGGGCTGTTCTGACAGTGTGGCCACTGGTGTTGAAACTGCAAGGGGTCCTGGGAGAGAACCAGGCTCCCCAGGCCAAGGTGGGCACGAGCCTGAGGCCATACCCTTTGCAAATCAGGCCACTGTGCCCCCAGACCAGGGCCTCACACGCATGGGCTCATTTAATCCTTCCAACCCGTCACTTGCAGCTCAGCAGTTCATTATGCAACGAATAATCACGAAGCACTTGCTATATGTCACTCGCTGTTCCCGGTGCTGGGAAACTGTAGTGAACAAAACAGATTTTTAAAAATCCCTGTAGTCACGGAGCTTACATTTTTGTGGGGGAGTAAAGTAGCAAACAAATAAATAGGCAAAACCTGTAGTGTGTTTTAAGGTTGTGGTTGGAAAGGAGAAACAAGGAACAGAGGGACATAGATGTGGAAGCTGGAATCTTAGGAGAAGGGGACAGAAGAATGACAGAGACTTATTCACTGGGAGGCTGAGGCAAGAGGATCCCAAGTTCGAGTCCATCCAGGCAACTTATCGAGACCCTAAATATAAATTTTAAAAGGTTTGGCGATACAGCTAAGTGCCAAGGCCCTGCGTTCAATTGCCAGTACCACCACTACCAGAAAGAACTAGAAGTGAGGGAGAGAAGGTGGTACAGGAGGGACCCCTGAGGACAAGAGAGAAACAGCAGGCCAGGGAACAGCATTACAACAGAGGAACAGCCATTGCAAAGGTTCTGAGGGGAGAGTGGTGTCCAGGTTACGCCAAGAATTGCAAAAGGCCAATGTGCTTGCAATGGAGGAAGCGAGGTTAGCAGCCAGAGAAGGAAGGGGAGAAGCCACCACATCAGTCAGGGCCTTCCTACTGCCCTGTGCTTCCTCTCAGATAACCTAGGAAGGTTCTAGAACCTTGTGTGATGAAAGGGACAGGATATGACTTGGGTTTTCAGAGATCCCCCCTGCTGTTGTTCTCAAAATAGACCCCAAAGGGAGAAGGCACAAAGGGGTCAGCAGTGAAGAGACTGTACAGCCAGTACTGAGAACCCCTACCGGAGCTGCCGGGAATTTTTTGCTAGGCAGTTTTCCCACTTCATCACCAGCTTCCTGTAAAGGCCATGTAATTCATTGTGCCCGTTTTGAAGACAGAGAGATGGATTCTGAGACGTTCAGGGACTCGAGTTGCTCAGGTGATGTGTGTGTGTGTGTGTGTGTGTGTGTGTGTGCGCGCGCTCACGCGTGTGTGGTGCTCCCACACACGGGCAGAGCTCTGCCATGGAGCTATGTCCCCAGCCTGTGAAGCCCTTGCCCAGGAAAGCTCTGGTGGTGTGGCTTTACCACGGGGCTCTGGCAAGTAAAAATCCGAATCTCTCAGGCCTTCTCTTTTTCCACCACTCCTTCCTTCAGGTAAAACACAAAAGACCTGTGTTGTCCCCAGAACTTTGATGCCCAATGCCTTCCTGTCTTTTCCTGGGGAGGTAGAGTGGTCTAAACCTGGGCTGAGGAGGAAATGCAAGCCAAGGGTAGAAGAGTTGACAGAAACACAAAACCAGCTTCCCCTTTGAGGCCCTTGGGCTTTGGGGGCAGGGCCACTGCTGCTGAAGTCTTCAGGCTCCAGGGAGCGACCCCTCCTCCATGGCTTTTGTTTTCAACGGAAGCTGAGGCGTTGAAGGATTATAAGGTATCCGCTGTTCCCAGCGCCACGCTGTACACCATTGCAGGTACACAGGCCCATATTTGTAATAATTACGGTGATGTATTTTGATGTGCTAGGAAAAACAAAGCAGGCACAGCTAAGCCATGACTTCATGAATATTACTGCTCAGGAGGAGGCAAAGTATTTAGGGTTTTTTTTTTTTTTTAGGAAAAAAGACGGTTTTAATTTAAAAATATTGTGTTAATAATAACATAGATGGTGCAAAGGCTGGGACACAGCTCAGTGGTGGAGTGCGTCGTGTGAGAGGGGCCTGAGTTTCGTCCCCAGTGCCACCAAACAAAACCAAACCAAAGTAGGTGGTATAAAATAAAGCACATACCTCGAAGGAGGGAAAGAAGAATATGTCGTAGGCTGTCTCAGGAGGAGGAGCAGAAATGGAGGGGAGCCCCCTCTCCCTGGTATCTAAAAGAAGTTTAAATATCCTTTTAATATAGTGAGAGAACAGGCACCACATAGAACATTAGAAAATACAGACCATCCACTGACTGACCTCCTTGCAAGAACAAGGTCCCGAGTTTGATCCCCGGTACCAAAAAAAAAAAAAAGAAAATACAGACCATCAAAAATGTTCAAATAGAAATTTCACACTCTCAACTCCCAAATCCTCACCATTAACACCTGGCTGCATAGCTTCTTGCTTTCCTACTGCTCTGTAACAAAGGACCAGACTTCAAATTGCACTTGTCCAGTCCCTCCCGGTTCTGGAGGTCAGCGTACAGGTACACTTGACTCTCTTGACTCTCTATACCAAGGCCAAAGTCAAGGTGGCAGCCAGGCTGGGTGTTCACCTGGAGGGCCCAGGGAGAATCCACTTCCAAGCTCCTCCAGGTTCCTGCCAAACCTGGCCCCTCTGTGGCAGTGGAATGCAGGCAGGTTCCTCAGAAAACTAAAGATAAGCCAGGCATGGTGGTGCACACACCTGTAATCCCAGCACTCAGGAGGCTGAGGCAGGAGAATTGAAAGTTCAAGCCCAGCCTGGACAACTTAGCAGTTTAGTGAGACCGTGTCTCAAAATAAAAAATACAAAAGTTCTGGGGATGTAGCTCAGTGTAAGGCCCTGGTTCAGTCACCAGTACTGAAAACACACACACACACACACACACACACACACACACACACCACACAAACCCTAAAATTAGAGCTACCGTATAATCCAGCTATCCCACTCACTTCTGGATATATAGGAAATAAAGTCAGCACAACAAAAAGATACCTATTCACCTGTGTTTATTTCAGCAGTATTCATAGTAGCTAGGATAGGAAATCAGCCTAGATGCCTCTCAACAGAGAGATGGATTTTTAAAAAATGTGTTATATTAGGCTGGGGATTTAGCTCAGTGGTGCCACTGCCTGCCTCACAAGCACAAGGTCCTGAATTCAACCCCTGGTACAAAGGAAAAAAAAAAAAAAAGAGTGACAGGCACTATGGTGAACACCTGTAATGTCAGCTACTCAGGAGGCTGAGGCAGGAGGACCACCATGAGTTCGAGGCCAGCCTGGGCTACATAGGGAGTTCAAGGCCAGCCTGAACTATTGAGCAAGACCCAGTTCGAAAAAAAAAAAAACAAAAAAAAATTAAAAATAAAAATAAATCAAATAAAAAGCTGGGGATGTAGCTCAGCGGTAGAGCGCTTGCCTATCACACACAGGGCCCTGGATTACATCCACAGTACCATAAAAAGGAGGAGGAGGCAGCAGAGGGGGAGGGTAGGGGAGAGGAGGAAGAAAAGCAAAATCCTGTCATTTTCAGCAAAATGGATGGAACTGTAGGACATTACGTTAAGTGAAATAAGCCAGGCACGGAAAGAGAAGTAGTGCTGTTTTCTTATACATGGAAACTAAGAAAGTTGACCTGAAAGGATAGTGATTACTAAAGGTTAGAAAGAGGGGGGATGTAAAAAGTGAGGCTGGATTAATCAGTATATGCTGTGTACAATGTAAGGAAACATCACACGGAACCCCACTAATACGTATAATTAATATGTGTTCATTAAATTTTTTTTAAATTGTGGGGCTAGGGCTGCAGCTCTGGTATAGCACATGCCTAGCATGCACATGGCCCTGGGTCCATCCGCAGCACCACAGAAAAGGAGGAAAAAAATTACTTTAAAAAACAAAAATAAATAAAGGGCTCTCTCCAGTGACAAGATCAGGCCCACCAGGATAATCTCCTCACTTGAAGGTCAACTGTGCCAATCATAACCACCCCAGGAGGGAACTCCCTTAGTTAAAGGTTCTGGGGGTGTGGGTGCGGAATCTGCGGGGGCCATGTTGTTAGGGTTTTGCATGCCACAGTATCCTTCCAGATCTTTCTCCGCATGCGTACTTCTAAGTCCATACGTGTGTTATAGATACAGGAAGAACCTGCTCTTTCCAGTCACCTGTCCCCACTGGCACTGTCCCACTTCTGGGCGGAAGGTTGGGGGTGCGTGGAACCATGCCAGCTGTGGCCCCAGGAGCTGTGGCAAAGGCCCTCGGCAGGGGCCCAGCAAGCAGGCAAAAACCCCGGCTCCCTTGCTCTCGGGTCAACTCTCCGCTGACTGTCAGAGGCCCCCAGGCACACACTGAGCCCCAGATGCACCCACCCCTGCTTCAAAGGACTTACAGTTACCTCTTGGTGTCCACCCCTGCTCCCAGGACCCAAGCTAAGCCCAGAGGGTGCAGGGGATTGAAATCAGCAAGAGATTGTTTCCATGTTTTATGTTTCTTTCACACAGGGCTGTATTCATGTATTATTAATGCAATTAAAATCCATTTTAAATAATAAATGTTTTAAGAGGAAAAACTATAGCTAGGGGACACAGAAATCACTGAAAGAGACCACATCCTGTGTCCTTCATTCCTTCTCTTGCTGAGACCCCAATGTCCCCCTGGCCCCCACATCTGCCTCCACATACACCCCCAGACACAGGAGCAAGCCCTGTGCATGGATGCCCCCGCATGCTATCTGTGTAACACTCTTAGAGTCTGCTCGTGGGTCTCCCCTCCCTCCTAGGATCCCTTTAATAGGACCTTGAAGGCACACAAAGGGTAGAAAGCCACAATAAGGAAGGGGGAGTGTCAGCAGATGAGAGATTTCAACACAGTTCTGGAAGACAGAGAGCAGAAGGAAAAGTGGTGACAGGTGACATGGAACAGAGAGAGCCGCAGCTGGAATCCCAGAAGGAAGCATCTCAGGCTGAGAGTACAGGGCTCCCAAAAAGCAGGTGCAGACAGTGTGGCTGGAAAGTGGACTTGGGGGCTCTGGCTGGGCCAAATGCTCACCCATTGCCTTCCCCCCGGAAGGGTTGTGACAGGAGCAACTTCTTCGTTTCTGATAGTTGACACTGCAGTTGGTACCGCACCTCCCAACAAAGGGGATCGCAGAAAAATTGATCCTGGAAGAAACGGATCATTTAGTAAACAGGGGAGAAGGGTTTTCAAAAGAAACAGTATCCTAGAGAGAGCCAAAGCTACTGTATCCATTAGACAGGAAGACCGGGCTAACAGAGAAAGGAACAGGGCCGGGAGTTAGCTCAGTGGCGCCAGGCCTGCCTTGAAAGCACAAGGTCCTGAGCTTGACCCCCGGTACCAACAACAACAATAACAAAAAACATGTTCCAGGGCCGGGGATTTAGCTCAGTGGTTCTGCTGCTTGCCTCGCAAGCACAAGGTCCTGAGTTCAATCCCCCGTACCAAAAATAAAAAAAGAGGATCTTCCTGGGAGGTCTAATATGTGACTAATGACAGGATTTTAGAAAGAAGAATGCAGAAGGCAAAGGGGACAAGCGAGCCTGCCGACCTCCCAAGCTGTGTGGCTCATGACAACGTGGAATTGTTGGTACCGGCGGAGCCCAGAGGAGCCAATGGAGGAGGAGTGGGTCCATGCAGGGAACCCCAGTAGAAAATGGTCAGGGGCAGCACTGGACTAGTGTGGTTCCATCAGAGGACCTCGAAATGAGAGTCCCTAGGGAAAGGGGACTCTGGTGGGCATGAGGGTGGGGCTGCTCACTTTGAGTCCTCTGAGATTCTCTTGCCAGAGCAAGATCCCTGGTTTTGGGCAAGGCCCTGGGTTTGGCATAAAGGAGGGAAGCTCGGCGCCTCTGCCCTCCCTGGTGGTCTCATGGGCACAAAGTCAGGTTCTCCCACAGGCCCTACATCCAGAGGGCACCAAATTCAGTGGAGGGCTTCTCAGGAGTTAAAGCGGGTGGCAGTTCTAAAAGGCTGCAGGCTTTTGGTTTGTTTGGTTTTGTTTGGAGCAGGATCTTGCTATGTTGCCCAGGTTGGCCTTGTACTCGGAATCCTCCTGCCTCAGCCTCCCAAACGACTGGGGTTATCGGTATGTGCCACCTCACCCAGCGTGACCATGTGCTTTTGGTGTTGGAATGAGATGCAAAGGAGTGAGTCCCTGTCACTGGAGGTATTTAAGTAGAACCCACACAGACATCTATCAGGAAACCTGCAGAAGGAACTGGAACTCTAGAATAGTCAGATTCATAGAGACAGAAATTAGCTTACTGGATGCTGAGAAATGGAAGAATGAGGGGTTTGAATTTGATGGGCAAAGAGTGACTGTTAGGGATGGTAAAAAAAAATATGGTAGAAACAGAGTGTTGATGGTTACATATTGTCGTTGTGCTTAATTTCACTAAATGGTACACTGAAAACAAGGTTAAAGCCAGACGTCGTGGCACACACCAGTAATCCCAGCACCCAAGAGGCTGAGGCAGGAGGATCACCATGAGCTCAAGGCAAGCCTGGGCTACATAGTGCAGTGATGATAAACCTTTTAGAGGCCAAGTGCCCAAACTATAACCCCAAACCCACTTGTGTATCTCAAAGTGCCAACACTGCAATTAAGCCTAAGTATCCAATGCTTTGCCGCTGGGGCGACTTACCTTGCAAGCTGACAGAGAGGAGACCGCATGCCCACAATGGCGCGTGTCATGGGTTCACCACCGCTGTTTTATAGTGAGACCCTGCCTCAAAAAGCCCAAAACAGAAGATTAAAACGTGTTTATACTTTTTTTAAATCACAATTTTAGCAATTAAAAAAAGGAATAGGAACCCTTATACCTTGCAGGTTGGGAGAAAGGTCCGGCAACCTCGCAGTAAGTCAAACACAGAATCACCACATGACATAGCAATTCGAGTCTGAGGTATCTAACCAAGAGAACCGAAAACACCCATCCACACAAAATTTATACAGAAATGTCCCCAGCAGTATTATTCACAATAGCCAAAAAGTCAAAACAACCCAGGCATGATGGTGCACACCAGCAATCCCAGCACTCAGGGATGCTGAGGCAGGAAGATTGCAAGTTTAAACTCAGCCTGGGCAACTTGGACACTTAGTGAGACCCTATCTCAAAATTTTAATAAAAAATTTAAAAGGGCTGAGGGTGCAGCTCAGTGCAAAGGCCCTGGTTTCAGTCCCCAGTACCACACACATGCACACAAACGCATACACACACACACAGAAACAACTAAAATATCTAGCGGCAGATGAGTGGATAACGCAAATGTGGTACCTCTGTGCGATGGAATATTATCTGGCCATAAAATGAATGCAGCAGTGGCACAAATGAACCTTGCAAATATGCTGAGTAAAAGAAGTGCTGTATGATGCCACGGGTGTGAAATGTCCAAAGCAGGTGAGTGTGGAACAGAAGGTCTATTCAAGGTGCCTATGGCCGCAGGGGCAGGGGAGGGGTTGAGGAGGGACTGCTGATGGGTGCCCAGTTCCACGCGAACCAGGCTACGGAGTATATCTCAAGAAAGTGGCGGTGTGTTTTCTGTGGTGCTGAGGCTGGAACCCAGGGCCTCACCCGTGCCGGGCAAGAGCTCTAGCCCTGAGCTTTGCCCCCAGAAGAGCTCCCACACCAGATGGGTTCTGCGCTGATTGTTTGGCTCCGGGCCGAGGGCAGCTCTCTAGCTGCTCCCAGATTGTGCTCCCCCCGCCACTGAGCCTGCTGGTGGCCGAACCCTAAGCTTCAGGCAGCACCAAGAGGAGAGCCCCTACAGCCCACTGTCAGCTCGGCCCTGTGGCGTGGTTTGTTTTTCCACGGCATAAACATACTTTATGGAGAAATAAAATGCATGATAATAAAGAGGGGGAGGGGAGCATTTCTACAAGCCCACATTTTATCCAAAGGGGCCGTGATTTGGCATCCCTGGCTCGAATATGAAATTATTACACAAGAATTGACTCTCGGTGTCTCCGATGCTCCCTGGGATGATTGCTTCTATAACTTATGGAGACAGCTGAGCGTTTGTACTCAAGTGATCACATAAATTAATATCCATATGTGGAAAGGGTGTGCTGGGAGCAGGGCTGCTTGCAGAATACGTCCCTGCGATGTTTCGCGCACCTGCACGCAGCTCTCCTCGGGGCCAGCAGCAAGGCCTGGGGGACGCCACCCCTAGAAGCGAGAAAGAGCCCTCGAGGTCAGCAGAATGAATGGAGGCAGCTGCTTTCTTTCCTTTCTTTCTTTTTCTGCAGTGCTGGGGATGGAACCCAGGGCCTCACGCATGCCAGGAAAGTGCTCTACCCCTAAGACACATCCCGGCCCTCTTTTAATTTTTTAAGAATAAATAAACAAAAAATCATGTGCCTTAAAATGTAATGTTTCCCTCCTCAGGCACGGGTTTAGCCCAAAGCTCTAATTATACGTGTGGCAGTGAAGGCCTCCCAGTGTTCTCGCTTGCCAAAAGCTTTTATTTTGCTACGTGACAGGAGACAAAATGATCCTTTTCTCCTTAGGAGATTGCCACGCCAAAGGATCCACGGGCTGGCAGCAGTGCCAGCCGGAAGTGCCAATGGCCTTTGTGTGCTCAGAGTAGGGGAGCGTGGTGGCAAAGTCCAGCCCTGCCCTCCCCCAGGCTGGGCAAGCCGGCTCGGGCGCAGAGGGCATGGATCCAAAAGTACGTACTGAAGGAAAACACACGAGAAAAGAATGGGACAGGTCTCAGACCACCCTCAGCCTCCTTGTTCATTCATGTCATTTCTTCAGCATGCATTTCTTGTGGTCTCACTGAGTCACAAAAACCCTAAAGAATCCTGTCTCCTAACAGGCATGGTGGTGCACACTTGTAATCCCAGCACTCTAGGAGGCTAAGACAGTTAGACTGAGAGTTCAGGCCCAGCCTGGGTAACTTCATGATTTAGCGAGACCCTATCTCAAAACCAAAAAAAAAAAAAAAAAAAAAAACAAAAAAAAAAAAAAAAATCCAAAAAGACCTGGAGATATGGCTCAGTACAAAGGCCCTGGGGTCAGTCCCCAGTACTGCTAAAAATAAAAAAGATCATGCCACAAGATGCAGGGGGATCAGTCAGCAGAGCCCTCTCACAAGGGGCACAGTTAATCCCACTCTGCTCATCTTGGGGCTTTCACACGAGGTAAATGTATGTACCTTCTCAGGTGATGGATGACCTGCGTGTGCTCAAGGGGAAAGGACAGCTATGGGTGGTCTCTGCTGATTTGTCTACTTCCTCCTATCCTTCCCCCACCAGGCCACCTCTGTCCAGGTGGCAGCCAATTAGCCTCATGCTAGACTTGACTACATTTAAAAAACAAGTGCTTGCCCCAGTACTCTGGGAGTCTGAGACAGGAGAATGTAAAGTTAGAGCCCATTAGCAACTTTACAAGACCCTGTCTCAAAAGAAAAAGGGGTCAGGGATGTAGCTCAGAGGTGCTGCCACCTGCCTCGCAAAGGCAAAGTCCCAAGTTCGATCCCTGGTACCACAAAAAACAAAAACAGTAAGAAAGAAAAAAATCACCCAGTGCACAGTAGGGAAGTGTTGTGTGTGATCCACTCGCCCCAGCTGGCAAGCACTGCGTGCAGAGGCAGCCAAGGATGAACGCACTGGGAAACCCAAAGGACAGCCCGGTGTCTCCAGTGGCTCTTCATGGGGCATGGCAGTGACTATGAGAGGTAGTGACACTCTGGCTGCCTGGTTCCTGTAAGAAGTGGGGACAAAGACATGAGCGCACCCCAGCACAATCTAGATGAGATGCCCAGCCTCTCTCCTCGCTCTCAAAGGACCCGAACAGTAGCCACATGGGAGAGAAGACTCCGCACCCCAGAAACTTAATTGTGATCTCTCTGCAAAGCCCATGCCTTCCCCCGGGCCAACATTTCCTAAGAAAATGGGAATGAAAAATCGGTCCCCACCTAGAACAAACAGTGCAATGAGGGACAGGGAACCACTGGGGCGGAGAAATTGCTTGGCAATATCCGAAGCAATGTCCTTAACCAGCATCCACTGAGCCCGCACTTCAGCTGGAGACAGTCGGTTTCCAGAGCACGGTGGACTCTTCCCAAGCACTCTGCCCTCCAATCATAAAGGGTGGTTCCAGGGGCACCTGGCCATCCTCCCTTGGGTCTCCTGTGTCCCCCACTCGGGGAGCTTCAGGCCCTTGTGGTTACACGCCCTGCAGTAGATGCAAGGTGGCCCCAAGAACAGTTGCATCCCTCCCCAGGGAGGCCCCATCGCAGGAGGAGGCCGTTTCAGCCCGCTGCTGTGGGGTTCCGCCATGTGACACTGTTCGTCGATGATGGACTGCGTACACAGACACACAGAAGGTGGGGCCCTGAGGCAGGGGTGGTGGTGCACACCTGTGATCCTGGCGCTCTGGAAGGAAGCCGAGGCAGGAGGCTCACAAGTTTGAACCCAGTCTGGGCAACTGAACAACTTAGTGAGACCCTGTCTCAAAAAATCAAAAAGGGCTGGGGTTGCTGCTCAGTACGAAGGCCCCGGGTTGAACCCCAGTAGTCGGGGGAGAGGGGATCTGAGCTGAAAAGCCCCATCACCCGGTGACACTGGTGTAGTGTCACAACTCAGTACACTCCGAATGTGCCTGTGTAGATAAACCTGTGGCGCTGCCAGTCACACAGAAGTATAACAGTGCAGAGGGAAGATGGGGGGGGCAGTAAAAACAGCCTGAGGATGTTATGTGTATGTACGAAACTGCCCAAATGAAACTCATTAATCTGTGCAATTAATATGTACTAATAAAGCCATGAAAAAAGCGTAACTTACTCAGTTACGTATAGTATATAACAATGATAATGACCACATTAGCAGTTTGTATATTTATCATACTACACTTATCTTTTGGGAGGGTGGACTGGAGAGGGAACCAGGGCCTCACCCGTGCTAAGAACACATTCTAGCACATACCTCCCCAGTCCTTTGGCCTGCCTGCTTTCTTTCTTTCTTTCTCTTCAGTACCAGGGATTGAATCTAGGGCTTTCACACTCAGCTACAGCCCCAGCCCTTTTGTTTTCTTCTTTTTGAGATAGGGTCTTGTAAAAAACTGCCCATATTGGACTCAAGCTTGGGGTCCTCCTGCCCCAGCCTCCCAGGGTGCTGGGATTACAGGCATGCACATCACAACCAGTACTGTGACCGTTATTTTAGTGGATCCTTTTATACTTTTTTTTTTTAATTTTGCAAAGTCCACTGTCAAACTGCGCAATGTTAGGCCAGCAGCAGCCTCATCCATCTCATGCTCACCACCTCCCCTGGCTGCATCCAGAGGCCATGACGCGTGACTGGCCTGTGCCATCTGGGTCATTGCAAACACACTGTGATGCTCACCGACCGGACTGCTAACAACACATCGCTCAGAGCACGGCCTCGTCTGTTAAGCAGCGTGCAACTGAGCGGGTAAACGTGAACCAGTGAGAGGTTTCCAATGGACTGGCTGTGCCTGGCCCAGCGTCCTATGCTCCTGCCAGCCACCACGACAAGAACACGGCCCCTCGTAGCTGCTACTGCTTCAGGAGGAGACCTGAGAACGAGAGATGAGTGGAGCTGATCTAAATCCGACCCACAATGCCAAGTGTTTGTGGGCAGCCACTGGGATCCCGGGATTGCTTGTTGTGCAGCTGGATCCTACTGTAGAATAGCTACTACACACTCTAGCTGCACGTCCAGCCCAGCTATGCTGACCCGGAGAGCTTCCAGCAGCCTGCTCGGGCAGGGGCCTTGGCTTCTTACCATCAGTACGGTGTCAGACCTTCTTGTAAATCAACACCTGAGTGAGTCCACCGGGGCTCGAAGGCCAATTACACGTCCAACCACCAGCAGGTGATTCCACACACGTCCTCCGTTCGGTGGCAG